CGGAGCGGCTGCGGATGGGGAGCCTCCTCGAGGACGGCCTCTCCTACAAGGAGAGCTTCATCGTGCGCTGCTACGAGGTCGGCATCAACAAGACCGCCACCGTCGAGACCATCGCAAACCTCCTCCAGGTACGCGCGCGGCTCCTCAATTCTCTCCCCCTCTCTCTCCGCCCCCCAAGGAGATCCGGGAAGGAAGCTCGATTCGTGCCGGCCTGTCTGCTGGACTGCGAAATGAGATGCCATCGCCCACCCCCCTTGGGGGTCTCAAGAGCCAGGGGTTCGGATCTGAATTTTCGTAGCTTCAGACTTGCGGCAGATTCAGAGCTCCTGCTGCTGTGTCTCGATTAGAATTTACCAAGGGGAGCTCCTAGTTAGTACCATTATACTCAAACGTTTGCTGCTTGCCATTTTTCTAAGTTGAGCTCGAGCTTGAACAAGTTAGCTATCCTAGCGCCCGCGATATCACCCACAGAATTTTGCTCGTCGTCCGTAAGTGCCACACACTGCTAACCGGAGTAGTATGACTTTTCCTTTGTCCATGGTTAACTAAAGCCTGGGCTCTTGAAATCCTGTGCTCAAAGATCTGATAGGGAACACCAGTGCTATTGTGGATTGACTCAGTTCAAGTAATTCTGCGTGCTGGAAGAATTTTGGTGGGGCTGTTACCGAATCTTGTGGATTTGCTTGCTTTGGCATATAATCAACTAATCTCCGTTCTCAAAATAAATAAATCAATTAACATTTCATTATAAGTATGCTAAGAAATGTAACTCTAATGATTCTAAGGAGATACTAACGTCCTGGGTGATCCATCTGTCATGGCATAATGGCGGGCTTGTCGATAATGGTCTTGTTATTTTCTCTTTTATGGCCTGTTTGTGGTAAGCTTTCTTGTAACTGCAGGAGGTAGGGTGTAATCATGCACAAAGCGTTGGGTTCTCCACCGACGGTTTTGCCACGACTACAACAATGAGAGAACTTGGACTCATTTGGGTCACAAATAGGATGCACATTGAGATCTACAAATACCCCGCTTGGTAAATTTGCAAGATAAAGATAGTATTTGTTCCTGCCGTTCTTCTTGAAACAGGATTTAGTCCTGACTGCGGTAATTCTGCTATGTATAGGGGTGACGTTGTTGAGATTGAAACATGGTGCCAAGCTGATGGAAAGATCGGTACTCGGCGTGATTGGATCCTTAAGGATTTAGCTAATGGTGAAGTTATTGGAAGAGCTACCAGGTACATGCTGCTCAATTGTGAAGCTTAAGCTTTTTTGTTCCGTTAGAGATACTCATCATGCTTGTTCACAGTTAGAACCACTTTTATGTGTAGTGGAAGAAGAAAAAAAAGGACAAGTAATTGTTTTGTACCTGTTTTATAACTAACTATATGTCTTGCCTTTTTTAACTTCATCTCCACCTTGTTATCTGTACCTTTTCTTCTCCATGCAAATCTAGCAAAGTAAGTTTCTAAGACAGTAATCAGACTTTCCAATTGTTCTTGCAGTATACTTTATTTGATGTGGTATGCTGTACTTATTTGCTGCTTGTTGACTTAATAGCAGCCCTAATGATCCATGCTTAAGAAGGAGGATCGGTTAGGGACTTTGTTGAGCTGTTCAACACATGTTTACGTAACTGAAGTTTAATAGTAGTTTAGTACAGAGCTAGATCTCTCACTGTGCTCAGCACAAGTAATGAAGTTCACTTGTTTTTCCAGCAAGTGGGTCATGATGAACCAAAATACACGCAGACTTCAAAGAGTCAGTGACGAAGTCAGGGATGAGGTGTTTATCCACTGTCCGAAGAGTCCAAGGTAAATTGGTACTCATATTTTCCTCTTCTTTAGGTTTGAACCGAGATAGTATCGCTTCTTTTATACTTCAAATGTGCTTCACTGCACACTCTTATGGTCTTATGTGATTCAATGGATAAATGTTCTTGAATAACTTGAAAATTGCTATAATATTTTTTCCCCATTGTAGACACAGATAACAAATTACCGTTGTGCAGATTAGCATTCCCTGAGGAAAATAATGGCAGTCTGAAGAGGATTCCTGTTCTAACAGATCCTGCACAGCACTCGAGGCTCGGTCTAGTGGTTAGTTTTTCTCCCCTTTATGGATGGTTGTTATGCCCTGCGCTTGAGCAACTGTAATGCTGACATGCCTTGATTTCTGAATTGCAGCCTAGAAGAGCTGATCTGGACATGAACCAACATGTCAATAATGTCACTTACATTGGTTGGGTCCTCGAAGTGAGTTTTCCAGCAGCCCTTTTTGTAATCATCAGTTCACTGTTCCTCCTTTTGCCTGAGTTATCCTGTTTTCAAACTTCCTTTATTGAGATAGATATCTTGAGTAGTTCACTATCACTTATTTGGTTATTCCTTAATACTCCCTCTGTAAACAATCACTCGCTGGAAACATGTATAAATGTATCCTTGTTGATTTGTGATAGTTTTCTGATATCTCTTTTATTTTTCCTCTCAAACCACAGAGCATACCTCAAGATATTATTGATACCCATGAGTTGCAAACAATCACTCTTGACTACAGAAGAGAGTGCCAGCATGATGACATAGTCGATTCTCTCACCTATATAGAGGAAGGGGAGGAGATAAATTCTAATGGATCTCTGTTTTCAGCGCCGCACCCAGAAGAGCAGCGTCAGTTCTTGCACTGCTTGAGATTTGCTGGGGCTGGGGACGAGATCAACCGTGGTCGCACCGTGTGGAGGAAACTAGCTAGATAAAAAGTGATATGTATTTGCTCATATGTATTGTGCTGTTCCTTTTGTTTTACTGTTTTGCTCTTTGCGACCGGCGCCGCATCACGAGAGAATCAACTGTACCCGGAATTTTGTGATTACCTTTGTGACCTGTGTAACAATCAATGCCAATCTGTGGCAAATGTTGGACCTCAGCTGGTGTTCATCCGTTTTGGACTATGCAATATATGTATGTATACAAGACTACAAGTGGTCCAATTCTTGATTGCATGTTCGCCACAAGTATATCATTACATCAAGGGTTGATCTTATGGTCATTGCCAATTGCTGGTGTGTTCTGTTCGATTGTCTTTGGGATAACATGTTGGTGTCAAAATGCATGACCTTATGTTTTTGCCATGTTATTCTTCATCGTCTCAAATCCTCCATGGAACTAACAAAGTCGTGAGATAGGTTCAAAACATAGAGACTGCCAGAAAGGATTGAAGCCTCCAGCGCGGCCAGCCTTTGACTGTCGAATTGGAACGCTGTTAGGTCCCTCACGGCCTGGGTGACACGGGGAACCCTCGCCGTCGCCACCACCAGGTCCATCACTTCGCCGCCGCTAGAGGGGCCGTTGACGAAGTCCAAGTGTGCCCAAGGGAAGGTGGCCCCCGCGTCGCCCCGGGTGACACGGGGAACCCTAGCGCCGCCGCCGCCACCAGGTCCATCGCTTCGCCGCCGCTGGAGGGGCCGCTGACGAAGTCCACGGGTGCCCAAGGGAAGGTGGTGGCTGATACGTCTTCAATGTATCTATAATTTTTGATTGTTTCATGCTATAATATTATTTGTTTTGGATATTTTATATGCATTAATATGTAATTTTATATTATTTTTGGGACTAACTTATTAACCTAGAGCCCAGTGTCAGTTTCTGTTTTTTTTAGTTTTTCAGGAAAATGAATATCAAACGGAATAAAACTTTCGTGATGATTTTTCTTGGACCAGAAGACACACGTAGGACTTGGAGTCCAAGTCAGAGAGTCCTCGAGGAGACGACAAGCCAGGGGGGCGCGCCCGGGGGGGCTTGTGGACCCCGCGGAGACCCCCTGACCTCCTACCTCGGCCTATAAATTCAGAAATATTCCCAAAACCCTAAAAGTATCCACAAAACCACTTTTCCACCGCCGCAGGTCTCTGACCTCGTGAGATCCCATTTGGAGGCCTTTTTCGGTACTTTGCTGGAGGGGGATTCGATCTCGGAGGGCTTCTACATCAACCTTACTACCCTTCTGATGATGCGTGAGTAGTTTACCACAGACCTACGAGTCCATAGCTAGTAGCTAGATGGCTTCTTTTCTCTATTTGATCTCCAATACAATGTTCTCCTCGATGTTCTTGGAGTTCTATCTGATGTAATCTTCTTTTGCGGTGTGTTTGTCGAGATCAGATGAATTGTGGATTTATGATCAGATTATCTATGAATATTATTTGAGTCTTCTCTGAATTCTTATACGCATGATTTGATATCTTTGTATTTCTCTTCGAATTATTGGTTTGGTTTGGCCAACTAGATTGGTAGTTCTTACAATGAGAGAGGTGTTTAGTTTTGGGTTCGATCTTGCGGTGTCCTGACCCAGTGATAGAAAGGGTAGCGAGGCACATATTGTATTATTGCCATCAATGGTAAAAAGATGGGGTTTATATCATATTGCTTGAGTTTATCCATCTACATCATGTCATCTTGCTTAAACCGTTACTACGTTCTTATGAACTTAATACTCTAGATGCAGGCAGGAGTCGATCGATGTGTGGAGTAATAGTAGTAGATGCAGGCAGGAGTCGGTCTACTTGTCACGGACGTGATGCCTATATTCATGATCATTGCCTTAGATATTGTCATAACTTTGCGCTTTTCTATCAATTGCTCGATAGTAATTTGTTTATCCACCGTATGTTTTCTTTCGAGAGAGAAGCCTCTAGTGAAACCTATGGCCCCCGGTCTATTTTCCATCTATTATTTTCAGATCTACAAAACCAAAAATACGAAAATACCTCGCTGAGTTTTATTTACTTTTATTTGTTTTATATCTATCTATCAGATCTCACTCTTGTTCGTGACCATGAAGGGATTGACAACCCCTTTTTCGCGTTGTGTGCAAGTGTTTGTTAGTTTGTGCAGGTGCATAGTCTTGTGCCTCCTACTGGATTGATACCTTGGTTCTCAACTGAAGGAAATACTTATCTCTACTTTGCCGCATCACCCTTTCCTCTTCAAGGGAAAAATCAACGCAAGCTCAAGAAGTAGCAGGAAGAATTTCTGGCGCCATTGTCGGGGAGGTTCTACATCAAGCCTACCAAGTACTTTTCATAAACTCTCATCTCTTGCACTTACATTATTTGCCATTTGCTTCTAGTTTTCACCCCCACTTCTTAAATGTTTTCAGAAAAACACAAAAATATTTACCTTTTTATTTGCCTTCTTTCCGTTTGTCTTTATGTCTTACTTGGTTTGTTTGCTCGTTTGCTTGGCATAATTCTGTTTATTGCAATTCAGAAAAAAAGAGATTTATGGATCCTCATCCACTTGCTAATCTTTTTAGAAGATCCAATTATGATGAACCAATTGCTAGTGAGTTGAGTGCACTAGATTATCTTTATGAGGTTTTGCTTGAAATTCGTGAATTTGAAATTTGTGATGAAGTGTTAAAAGAAATTTATAAAGTGATTCATGATAGCTCCTTGAATGAAAAGCATGATTGCAATGATGTTATTATAAATTTTATTAATGTCAGTTGTGTTAATGATATGTAAAACCCTAAGCTTGGGGATGCTAATTTTGCTATGTCTACTACTTGTTGCAATGATCATGATTGGGGCGATTCTTCTTATAACACTAGTGCAGAACCGACCTTTAGTGCCAGTTCGTAACGGCCTTTTGAAAGAACATGCGGTGCCCCCATGTTTGGTTTTGGTAATTGATGACAATCTCTATGGACTAATGGTTGCCTTGAGTTATATTTGAAGGTTTTGTCCATATGCTTTTCTTGGAGTACATGTGTTGGTTTCAAGGAGAGTTTGTGTTGACCAAGGTGCTATTAAGGAATTATCCAAAGATTGGTCATGTGAGAGTTGAGCTTATTGAAAGCATGTATTGAATAAGAAGATTGTGTGATCATTCATGTTTACCTTCAAGACATCATCCAAATGAAGAGAGTTGGAAATATTCAAGGTTGATAAAAACTAAGTCAAGACTGAATCAAGTTGATCAACTCACAAAGCGTAGAAGATGTACCGAGAGGGATCAAGTGATCCCATGGCATGGTAAGCATTGTCCATTGTGCTTTGTGTACTAACCCATGGTCTATGTGAGAGTTCTATGTGGGGTTAGGTACGTGTTCATGGGCTTGCGTCAAGAGGAAGATATCACTCAACCCATGGAGAGGATGACATCAAGTGGTGATCGTCATCAAGATTGCTGTGTGCAAGTTCAAGTGGAGCATCACGAAGAGATCAAGTGCTTGAAGCTTTCCATCCATTGTGGTGTCAATGGACTTGTGAAGATGTGCCGAAGAGTGGCTCACCCATAGTGGAGTATGGGGGAGCAATCATCTAGTCTCCATCGACCCAACGCAATCAAGAAAGGTGGTCCATCTTGAGGAGGACAAGATCGTCATCATCTAGCTCAAGTGGATCATGTGCAAGGAAAAGGTTTGCCCTTGATAGGTTTTCTATTTTACCGGTCTCATGGTGGTAGTTGGGAGACCGGGTTATAGGATCGATAGCCGTACTATCAAGGGGGGCTCTCAAGTGAGTAGCTTGATCGTATCATTCGTCGAGAGCTCAAACCATTGCATCCTTGCATCATGTTTCTTGGTTTTTGTTTGGTTCTCCTTGTGAGTCTTAGAGCTTATGGTCATCTTGATGACAAGCTTGAGTTCATCGAAAACGGAGTTTGCATGCGTCTTCTATGATGTTTTCGGTATTGGAGGTTTTACCGGTCTTATCCAAGGAAGGGTTCTCACCATTTTCTTTTGGGCCTTTTATCATTTGCTTCTTATTGATATTTCTATCAAGATTGTGTTATCCCTTGTCTCTAGCTTTCCAACAAACTTGGTTTCATCGAATTCGGAGCCCGTTTGCAGAAGTTGTGTCAGTTTTGGTGTTCTGAAAAGGCTGCAGCGGTACTACCGCGGACAGGAGCGGAAGTAATTTTTTACTACCGCTTGGAGCAGTACTACCGCGACTACTTCCGTGGCTACTTCCGCTCGGGACCAAAAACTCGTGTTTTCTCTCTCGTTGGGCTGTTTTGACCATGCTAAGCGGTAGTACCGCTCCTCCAAGCGGTAGTACCGCTTGTGCACGACCTGAGCACATAACGGTTGGATTCGGGAGGTCCTATAAAAGGGGATCTTCTTCCCCAATGAACCTTATCCTTTGAGCTTGTGTTCTCCCCCCATTGTTGACCTTCTTCGAGCTTGCTAACTCTCAATCCCTCCATGAATTCTTGCTAGTTTTTGAGGGAAAAGAGAGAGAAGATCTAGATCCACATTTCCACCAATCACTTTCTCCTCTATGTGAGGGGAACCCCCTGGATCTAGATCTTGGAGTTCTTGGTGTTCTCCTTCTTGTTCTTCCTCTCATTTTCTTCCCTAGCATTAGTTGCTTCGGTGGGATTTGAGAGAGAAGAACTTGGGCACTCCGTGTGCCCTTGCCATTGCATTTGGTGCATCGGTTTGAGTTCTCCACGGTGATACGTGGAAGTTACAAGTTGAGAAGCTTATTACTCTTGGGTGCTTGGTGTCCTTGAGCTTGTTCCTCTTGGGTGCTTGGGCGCCCTAGACGGTTGGTGGTTGCCAAGTTGTCTTCTCCTCTTGTTGCTAATGATGATGCTTGTGCTACTAACTCTATCTCTTGTGAAGCATCCATATTGAAGGAGAATATTGAGCTAAGGGCTCAACTTGAGTTGCTATCTAGCAATTATGGGATGTTGGAAGAAAATCATGTAAAGCTCACAAGCTCTCATGATGATCTCCTAGTATCCC